TTTTTATTTTTATTTTTATTTTTATTTTTATTTTTATTTTTATTTTTTTTTAAACCAGTCTTGACATATTACACTATTTTCTTTGGTTTGGCTCCTGAAATAAAATGATTTCATGAAAATCTCATTTTTCAATAAAAATGAGAACATCTAAGCTGGGGAATTGAGTGTGGAACCTTAAGGCTTGGAAAGCTAAATGGCAACCTACTGTTTTTTGCCTTTCAAATTCAAATATCACAAATTTTAGTGAGGCCAGTATCATGATTTACTTGGGCATCACAAATAATTTATGAACACAGGGTGAAGGAAACACAGAACGCACTGTGGTGCCAGTGGGCTGCTACAGCAAGAACAGGATTCACTTTTGGAGCTGATTTGTTTAATGTTTGTATGCTAGTGAGTTCTTGAGACAAATCCTCATTTTTCTTTGGATCAGCTCCCTGTCTTTTAAACAAGCTCCATTTGCCTTCAACTAAAAATGCCTATGCAAATATCCCCTCCAATAAAACCAAAGATATAAACCATAAAAGCATAAAAATTAATTTAACTACTTTGAGGCTCTGCTTGCAAAGAAAATTGCTTGTATTTAAGAAATACTATTCCTAAGAAAATATTTCTTTACATGTATATTTATACACATGTATAGAGTGTGTGCTATGTACCTTCTGGGTAGCTCAGAGACGACATGAGCTTTAGCAGTACAAGTTAATACTTCCAGATCTGGAGGTCCTTAATTTTGGATGAGGGGGCATCTACAATAAGCATCCCACCTTAGCTAACTGTGACTTCGTCAGGACTTGCGCGCTCAAGAGGCACTAAAGCCCTGACATATAAGTAAGAGTGAGAATTTCACAGCTTCTGTGGCTTTTGATCAAACTTTTAGTGCCTGGATTGAGTGGTAAGCACACTCACTGACTTCAAAGACAAAACTCTGACCCCTCAAACGCACTGCACGTGCTTGAATAAATTCTGGCGTGCAGAACTACTCAAGCATGCAGATTCTGTCTTTACTTATCCTGAGGAATGCCTAACCCTCACTATTAAATTCAGCACAAGAACCAGAACAAACATTTGACTGTAAGCACATTTTTTAGTTCAAAGAACATGCAAGCATCAATAACCTATCGTCTTAGCACCTTACTCAGTCATGTGTAGACTTTAGTCTTCAACTTGAAATATTCTATTAATAAGCAAGCCATACACAATGTGAAAAATACATATTGGATTCATTTTTTTGCAAAATGAATGCAAATAGCTTAAGTTAAAAAACTCTGGGCCTTTATGCTGCTTTGTGGGCTTTGAGAACAAACATTCAAGAACAGCAGCAGGCAAGACCTTGCTGGAGACACTGGAGCATTTTCTATTCCTTCTATAAAACACACCATGTGAGTCTTTAGTACTGAGCGCACAGCATAACATAGCACCAAAGATAAATTCCTGGATAATTTTTGATTTCCAAGGAGAGGACATGAACTCTTGGTCCTAACAGTGAAATAACATTTAGTCTTTTGTGCTCATCAGTGGAGCTATAGCTTGGAGAGAAAATTTAATGTCACTAATTTGATCTTCAGCAATAAGGTTTAAGAGTTACATATTTTGGGAAAAGAAAGAAGTAAATTTAGAGCAGTTTTTATAATGAATATAAAGTTAAAATTGTTTTCCAGGAGAGGCAGTCAGTCATTAAATCATCCCATATCTAAGCACATTAGCATCTAATTTTTAGTCGAGAAGGTACATCCCTCAAGTAAAAGTGATATGCTTCTACAACTTATTAGCCTCAAGACCATCTGACTTTCAGAGAATAAATCCTGGTTTGAGAGCCCATTCTAAAGTTACTTGACTAAAATTTCTAGCTTTGACACAGTTGTTTGAGACAAAACTGAATCTACACTACCTGGGAGAAAAAGGCAACAGAAAACTTCCAAGATGCACATAATGTAATAGAGATTGCATTATTTTTCTTCAGTGTCTCAATTCTTTCATTTCACAGTTTTAACCAAATATGAAAACATTAAACACAATCTCTGAGCTCAAAGCCACTTCCAAAACTGCCAAGCATAAAACTGTTACTGAATTGCTCTGTTCTGTTTATCATATTAAGATACATTTTTAGATGAAAAAAAAATGCTAGATTGCAAGTGTAACATAATAGAACCAGCAAGCACTGCCAGCAGGTCTGAGGAAGAGAGAATAATTCAGAGATATTGTCATCTGTAGGCCAATTTATATTGTCAGACAGCAGGTTCGCATTAGTCTCTGATGTCACTGCAATAATGGCATAATGTAACAATTGAGCAAAGAATACCTGTGGGGTACAGCAATGCTGTGTGGTAGATCTGTACTTGTTAAAGTATTTCAGGATTCATTCAAAGCCGAATCAGAAGAAGCAAAAGACGAGGATTAGAAGAGTGAGAAAATGATGTTCAGAAAGACTTGTGAATATTTTACTCTTTGTTTCGTAATGATGAAGCAAGCACAATGTTGTACGCTATTGATTCAGTGGGTTCATGATTAAAACAAACTAATGCAGCAATTTGAGGGTTTTGTGCTTCCTTTTTTTTTTTTCCCTTCTAACAAGAAAAAAAAAAGCTTTTTAACAGTCTCTCGCGGCGGGCATAATGTGCATCTGTGCTCTGATTTACTGCACATGCTGCCTTCTCCAGCATCATGTTAAGTTAGGGTATCAGCATGGTAGGTCACACAGTGGGAGCGACCTTTTGCTAATCACTACACATCAGTTACTACTGGCACGCAGCTCATTACTAAGAAGCCCTCCAACGAGCTGGCTTTCAAATATGCCCAGACTTTGATTTTTTTTCCTCTTTTATTTCTTTCTCTCTTTCTTTTTTTTTCTTCTTTTTTTTTTTTCCCCTCAGACTAAAGATTATACTTTTACATAAAAGCTTCTGTTGTGTAATTTTGTCAACTAGGGTTCCAAAGTCAAAAAGGCACCCAGTTAATTTTCCATCATTATAAAAGGAGCCTGAAAATCCACACTGAAGGTAGGCCTGTAATCTTGGGTTTCATTAAAAAGGTCAGAACATTTTTACTCACCACCTATTATTAAAATGTTTGAGGACTGCCATTAATTTGATTTTTCAGGACACAGAAATCTCGCTGGAAATGAGAACGTAATCCTGCTGTTGCTTTACTGACACTTTTCATAGGGAAGGATACAGCTGCAGGGACCAAGAGCTCTCCTGCAATTTACAATTGGTTACTTTGGACAAATGGCAGGTGACTAATGCAAGACAAACTGTTTGCTCAACCTGGGAGCTTTGGGTTTAATTTCAGTTTTTGAAGGAGGGGAGAAACTGTTTCTATTGACGTTGAACTGTGAGCTGTCCCCTGCCAGTACATCTGCCATGTTTAATACAGTACAGCCCCCTGCCCGACTGTGATTATTAGAGATGCAGAATTTGATAGCGAAAGAATACAAAACATAGCTGGAATAGAATAGAATAGAATGAAATGGTTTTCAACTTACCGGCCATTTGCTGAATGCCGCTGAAGGCACCCAAGTTACTGGAGGAAGTTGCTTGCTGCAGAAGCTGCAAATTAACAACACAAAACAGCAATCTATCTGGCATTACTGTAACAAATGAAGATAAAACTAAAACAAGTGATCATTTCACATTTGGAGTATTTATGCTTTTCTTTACATTTATGCAGTCTCTTGCTTCTGTCTATTGTTGGAATGAACATCCCTAGAGTCAATGCTGTAAATCCATATTAATGTCTAATCTCTATTAAGAAACACAGAGGCACAAGGGAAACTCAATAACATCGCTGCTTTAAAACAATTAATCAATTTATTCTTTTTAACAACCAGGTGTTAAATCTATTTAAACCAACATAGCGTGACTAATTACAACCCTCTGTAGTCTAGTAGTTACTATAACTCATCTCTGTCAATCACGGTCCATTCTCCACCACCCTCTTGAATTCAGTTTTTTCTTTATTACCTATATGAATCAAGCACACAGATACTCATTAGACTGGTATTTGTATACAGCAATTTAGCCCACCTCAGTATTAATTAGCCTACCTCAATACCGATATATATATTTAATTGCAAGGTAAATTGCTGTTTATCATTATATCACTATACCAACACATTGTATGCATACAAATTATGCACTTATGCGTATACAGTACAGATACGGACGCATCTATTTGTCTAGTTCAGAACCATCAGGAGCTCCCCAAATTATCGGAAGCTGCCCAACCTGTACACTCAGCTCCAGAGCCATAAGAAGCAGAAAACCCTTCCAGCCATGCTGCAAGGTAGACTTGGCAATCCAAGACATAGACACACAGCTGTGTATTTCAGCTTTCTCCATCAGGGGCAGCAGCTAGCACTTGTTTTTCCTCTTACATATAGATCAAAGAAAATATCATTTTAAATTTATGAGAGACAAATTGCTTTCCTCTGCCACCTTCCCTTCTGTAAAAGATAGTATGAATCACGTGTGTTTAGCATTGATGGGACCATGCATTAAAGTAAAAGTAATTTCCAGATGAAAATATGTAAAATTAGAGCACTGAACCACAACATCCTAGTTTAGAAGCTGCACCATACAGATACGGACTGTACAGTGTTGTGTTCAGATACCTATCTGTCTTCCTCTAAGGAATAACTTAAATTTTATTCCTGCAATGAATAACAGAACGTAATGTTCAAAAGAACAATAAAACTAATGGAGCAAAATTTTATTTTGCAGCACGAGTAAACTTTAAATGCTTCTTGCCTTGGACAGCAACAATGCATTGAAATGTTTATTCAAATTTTATTCTTTGCTATTTATTTTTAAATCATGCAATAAACATGGAAAGTTTTTTTTAATGTAGAAGTAGACATACTATATGTCCTGCAGAATTTACTATTCCATTGAAGGAAGTTTACTGTTGCTAATTTTCATGGGTCTAAAATAAATACAGCATGCTATAGGTGCACCACCTCTGATGTGAACTTACAGCTAGATACTGTGGTGTGAGTCCTCCAAGACCCGTGAGGTTTCCCCAAGTGGCAGTATTGAGCTGTTGCATCTGCTGTGCCAACTGCTGCTGCAAACGCCGCTGCTCTTTGTCCTTTTGGGTATCAGCAAACTTCACCACGATTGGCGAAGAGCAGCCCTGTGGTTAGACAGATCGGGAAAAAGAAGTGTTAAATCACACTGAGCCAACCCTGCACCATGAGCTCAGCCACATCCCTTAGGGCCACTGGCAATGGCACAACCTGATAGCTTTCCTTTCTTTGTGACTGATGTGTAGGACCACGAGGACTAAGATTTTCAGCTTCTCAGGAAAAGAGGCTGTAGAGAAATCATCGACTCCCTATTTCTTTTTATAAAGCACCTTTCCTCAGGCTCTCTTTTCCTTCCAGCTATCAAAACTGCTGCCAGAGACAGCAAGTGTACCAGTCCTCTTTAATTAAGCTTCACAGCTGATGAGATGGACATGTTGCTTTGTCTGCAGTCTGTTTTCAAGGCATCGCCAAAGGGAGAGGTGTCCAACCTCCCTGCTGCCAATGACCACACAGCCAACACAGCCCTGCCGCATGGGCTCCCTGTGCTTGGTGCAGCTGTCTTGTCTATCCTAAATAAATAGGCCTGAGAGCACCAAATTTACTGCAACACTCATCAGGAATGGGTCACTGGTTCCTTCCATATCAAGAACCTTGGATGAACACCAAGGGCCATGCTATGAGAACAACTCACCCACTTGCAGCTTGCTCCTGGGCACACTTTGTGTTGAGCACCCTTGAGGTGTGAACAAAAGGCAGGATGTGGACCAAAACTGACTACTTCTGGTGGGAGCAGCCCATTCCTGATTCAAACCACTCTTACAGGTTTTATTCTATTTTCCTATTGTTTCAATGAGCCTCTTGTTATATGATATGGGAAAGCTGCAAGACCCCATAGGAAACAGACAGTAGGAAAGAACTCAAGATCCGGTCTGCAGCCTGCTCCTCACCCATCTCAGGGATCCTTGAGAAGCTGTGGACTGGGTGGGCTGTTGAGGGACCTAAGAATTTCCCTTGGACATCAGGTTGGATATTCCTGGGCGAAGTCAATGAGAGAACAAGAAGTGAATATGAAAAATGTCCCTGTTGCTCTCACCCTATTTTTTTTATCCCCACTATCAAATGTTTTCATATTTTAACCTTTTTAGGCTTCATTTTTTCAAATCAAGAGAACAAACTATGTACTGCAGTGATTCAGTTCTTAATTCAGGCATTTTGTGAGTCATGGTAGCTGCCAATCCATTCCTTACTGTTTTCCAACTACAGGAACCAATGAATAACTTCCCTCTACCTGCCATGCATTATTATACTAATTTTGTGCCTAACTTCAATTTGAACATAATGGTAGGAGTGAAAGATGACTCAAGTCCAAAAAAGAGAGCAGCATTTTAGCCAACATGTGCAGTGTGGGATGGGGAGGCTGGTTATACTTAGCCTAACTCTTCTCATGACTGCTCTCACAGCATTGTGAACATCTTTAGCAAAGTTTATTTCCTCTACAATCTACAGAGAACAGTTGAGTACCTTTTCTCTGAAGAACCTCACACCAGGACAAATGCTAAGAACATTCAAAATCAACAGACAAAATGATGAAATAAACCGCAATAATAATATCTCTTGTATGAAGATCTCCCATCAATACTTTTCCTTTAGAATTATCTTAGAAAATCATCACTTGTGATTTATTATTCCACCTCCAATTCCTTCCCTGTGTGTTTCATTGTAGAACTGTCTTTCAGTGTTTCAGCAAGAAAAAAGGAGATATGTACCACTCTAGCAATCAAATAAAGATTATGAAAGAGTCAGCTTGTTACAAAATTACGTCTCTTCAGTGATTTTTATACTAGTATTAAAGACAAGGTCCTTTAACAAAAAAAAAAAAAAAAAAAGGAGCTGGGGGTGGGAGGGTGTGAAAGAAATTTTTCTGCTTCAACTAATAAAATAGCAAGCTGCACCATATTTAATATGAGCTTTGGTAGCATTGGGCTAATCAAAACCAGAACTTACTGACTGCTACCTAGATGTACAGGAGAATCAAATCTACTTCCAAAGAAACAGAACTGAATTTTAAAGGAAGAAATATTCTATGGCTATTTCAGTTCTCAGTTCAGCAGCTCAGCACTCGACACTACAGCTGACATATTTATGAATGCTTAAATGTCAGTAAATTGTATAAAAACAATATCTCTGCAATTTATGAGTCTATAATTCATTTTTTTCACTGTCTGCTCTATATTTCATCACTTCATCATTTTCAAGAGAGCAAACATTCTGAAGACTGAAATTATATGTAGCAAGTGGCTCTATATGAGAAAAGGGTTGTTATTGTTGCATCAAATTTACTCCATGATAACAAATTAGTGTCTTCTACTGGTACTGCATTTCAATGCCTTAAACAAACAAACAAAACCCCCGGAAATGAGATAGAAGAATAGAAACTCAGAGCAGCAGTTATGTACTGAAGATCAGTTGATTTAACCAGGTCAGAAAGTCAGATGCAAAAAGTAGTAAAAGAACTCATTATTTTAAGAGATATATTCATCTGGATATTAACATCCCTACTGTTCTTTCTTTACCCACTTTGAAAATACATGTTGGTAAATAATGTGTGACAAGGAAGCAAAAATAATGAAATCAGAAAAAAAATCTGCAGTAATTGAGTTGATGTGACTGTGTAATACATATTCTCCCCAAAGCCCATCTATTTTTTTGCATTCAGTGTGAAACAAATGCATCCAAGGATCACTGTTTCAGGCTGAGAAGCCAAGGTTTAATGCTAGGTAATGTAAGTTAGCTTTCTAGTAGAAGAGCATTGGCTTGCATCACACACACAAGGTGCATCTCCCTTTCTCATTCAGTGGCTCAGCATTTGCACCCCATTCTAGTGCAATTTTACTCCTGACAGCTGGTGCTGCCTTCGTACTTTTCTTTTTGTTGGCAATACAGTGTACAGACTCTGTTCAGCCCATCACCTCTGGAGTTGGAGGGTGTACTGCTTCTCTCCAGGAAGGGACTCCAGCCTAAGCTCAACTGGCACAAAGACCCAGATATTCAAGGTGCAAAATACTTGGAACTGCCTTGCCTTGCCAGTTTGGGGTTCTCATTGATGATAACTCTAAAGATACTGAGATCAAAGTCTAATCATTTTATAGAACTGAAGTAAGCAGGAGCATTATAACAAAATGCAGCCTCAGTTGGAGCACTGCAATTAACAGAAGAATGGATGAATTTGTCTGGAATGTATTATCTCTTTAATGTTACCATCTTCTGAGGTAGACCTGTGTAAAATTCATCTTGCTAGACAGAAAAATACATTAAAACATATGGAAAAATATAGGTAAAACACAATATTACCAATAAACATTTTCTTTTTACATGGAATCAAACCCAGCAAAATATATAGATATGAATTAATGGAGCAGTGCATGGCAGACAAATTACTATGAGTATTATTTCAAAAACTCAAAGTGGCAGTTTTTCCACAATATACTGTCAGACTGCATATATCATAGGTTTTCTAGTAAAGATAATTTCAAATATTCTTGTCTCATTGGAAGATTCTCATCTAAAAACTACATACTTAGGGTTTAAAAATGCATTGCACTGAAAAGAAAAACACATCAATTATAAAATAAGCTCAACCAAATTCAAACGTGATGCTTGGAGAGACAATAGCTTTGCAATGCCAGTATCGTTACTTGTAGTACACAGGAAACAGTTAGTGACATTTTCATGCACTGCCTTCTTTTTCCTTTGCCTTCTCGTCCTCTCTCCACTCTCCCACCCCTGCTCTTCCCCCCCTGGCTCGTTACACAAAGCAGCTAACGACATGACGCAATAATGATTGTTTAGCACCCTGCATGCTTTGGGAGACTAGAGCATTGCAAAGAAAAATCACTGAGAGAAATCGAAAGGTCCTGGTGTAAAAATAAATAAAAAGAAACAAGTGCACATAACATCAATGCCACCTATGAGAAAAAATCATCACTACACGAAGATACAGTATACATAATACAGTATAACATGCACTCTCCAATGATAAGCTACAAGATCCAGAGTAAGTAAAGACTTAATACTTGTGCGGTTTTTTGTGCAAAATTCTGAAAGACCATGACAAAAATCACAGACTGACAAAAGTTTGAGATTGCCAGACAAGCCGTGGCACTTGATCACCACTCCAATGACCGGATCATTAGTCTGCTGCTGGATTCACGTTAAGTGAGAGGGTTTCAAGTTTCGTGTTGCTCACTGTTACAAAATATGAGGCCGTAGAGGCAATGTGGGAGGAGATAGAACTTGAGAGGGGCCAGGCACAGCGGTGCTCTGTAGGAAGCTTTGATGTGCTCCTTCATCATTAGCGTTTTTATCGCTATCGTGAAGAAAGAGAAATTGTATTAGCTTAAAAAGAGATTCCATTTGCAGGAAAACACATGCACTAGTAACTCAGGGTGGCCACGTTAAGTCTCTTGAGGTTTTTCTCAGAGCAGCACAAACCAGAACACTTAAACATCTATTTAAAGAAAACTAAGATTTTTTTTTGGGGGGAGGTGTTAATATTAAAAGCAATTTACTCATTAGGTATACTCTTGAGTATGAGTGAAGAGTGGTATTCACAGTAATTTTATTTTCTGTGAATGCCACTGAGAACAGGATACAGAGCTGTGTTTGGATACTGCAACCTGATTGTGTGCTTCCAGGCCGTTAAGAAAAACACGTTTGACAAGGAGAGGTAGCGTGAGTTGGCAAAAAGTTTAAATCTGTGATTGTCATGTGTCTGATCTGGTCCAGGAGAGCATGGCTTTACCATTCGCAATCATTTGCACAAAGAAAACAAAGAAAGGGCAAATGATACAGTACTGTACCTCCATGGTCTGAGACTGGTGCATGGCTTTGATTGCATTCTGTGCCATTGCCCTTGTAGAAAATGTGACAAACGCACAGCCTGTGGGAACAAGGGGACAGGGAGCAGGAAAGACAAAAAACAACAAGACAAAAGGGTTGGACGCTTGTTAAACCAACACAGTCTACGAGAACGGCCACAAGACGACACTGTTCTCAGTAGTACATAAAAATAAACAACTTCTCTAGTTTATTTATTGACAGTGCTGACTTGCTAATCTGACCATAGATGAAAGAAAAAAAAATTAGGTGTGATGGGTGAGGATAAAAGGGTTTCTTTCTTTAATTTAGGGTGGGTTTTTTTTTTTTTTGTTTTTTTTTTGTTTGGTTTTGTTTGGTTTGGTTTCGTTTGGTTTGGTTGGTTTTGTTCTTTAGCCACAGGGTTTGACATACTTAAGGCTTTCTTATGCGGAGTTTGGATTGCATAGTTGAGTCCATTCGGGCCATGCATTAATAACTGCTTGCTATGGCTTTTGTGTCAGTAAATATTGGACAGTGAATAAACAACTGGCATCACCGGCAGCTGAGCTGAGAATTTAAAGGAGTCCATAATGTCACTTACATATTTCCGTGATGCACCAAGAACAACCATACAAGTAAAGATGAGAAAAACTTGACTGCGAACTTTGCAACTAATTGCAAAAAGACTCAGACAAAATTCAGTAACGTAGGTGGAATCTCAACATTTAAGAAAATAACATATTAAGAATAAAAATCTTTATGATTTTTGCTTCTCACAGTCCTAGGTACAAGTATAATTCTTTGATCTATGAAAGCTACCAAGAGCTTGAACAATTCAAAAGCTGTGTGCATGAATAACTAAAAAATCACTTTTCTCCCTCTATAGCCTTTTAAATCATAATGAAAGCCAGTAGGCGAATGCCTGGGCTATTTTTCCACTCTTTTACTATTGTCAGTCATACCTATACTGGGCATGGTACGGGTCAACTTTCTTAGTGCATGACTCACTGCCCTTTTGACTAATAAAAACACTGCCTTCTGAGATTTACATTTTATTCTTCATGCACCCTTGGGCATCTTAAAGAAAAAGACTGTGAAATTAATGCAGATTCGGGCTGATTTTGTAATAATACCATGGCACACTAAAAGCTTAGCTAAAGCAACACAGACTTATTTCACTTGTGATCTCTAATGACTTTAAAAGTGCATTGATTTTCAGCTCCCTTAGCCTTGCACAGTTTGAACTTAGGTTTCAGAGAATAATTTAGTGTTCCACTCAATTTCCTCAAAACATTATTATTATTACTACTTAAAAGATTTCCAAATGAAGCAAATCTAAGCACTGAGAGGCTAAAGCATATTGTCGTTTTAGAGCTAATACATGAAAGCTACATTCTGGCATCAAAAATACAATGTTGTTGCCCCTGTGGCCAATGGGCAAAATTAACTACTTTGCAATCCAACAAGCAACAGATTGTTTGGTTTATGCAAATCAATTTGAGGCATAAAATACCTTTTCTTTTTTGCACCGTGCACCTGGTGAGATTATCAAGTCAAGACTGTATTCACATTTTAATCAAACAACAGTAAGAGAAAGCAATGCCTGATCATTACCCAAAAGCACTACATCTAGTCATGAAAATAAAGTCAATGCATTTTTGCATCATGCGGTACTTTTTTTTTTCATTAATGTAAAAGCCCTTGGTACAGGACAACCTAAACTGGCTTATGTACCTCTGGCTGATAGGTCAGTGTTTTAAAATCAGAAGAAGGATTCTTTTCAACGCAAACTTCATGGCAATGTCATGACTCTACTGATGATGTCTTACAGCTGTTTAGACACAACTACTATACTACCATTATTCAGCAACAAAGTCCTGTCAAAGAAAATGATGTAATGAATGGCTTTCTGTACAGCATTCTAGACCAAATGTGCGTAGAAGGGTAAATAAATTACAGTACCTCTGCTAGCTTCCATAATGCTGCTGTGCACTAAAATGAAAGAGGCCCAAATTTACCATTGAAGTAATCTCTCCAACAAAAACATTTCTGTTATTATCATTAAAAGAGGAAATATCACCAAAGGTTTGCATTTCTTGTCTTGCAAATTCAAAGGGGGGTGAGTACAAATAGAGATATACTGGAGGACAGGCAAGAAACCCCATACAGCCTTGATTAATATTGTTTATAACGGTCAAGAAACTACTTCATTCACTTCTCTTGCTCTCATTATCCAGGAGTGTGTAGCACAGTGACAATTACTGAATTGGAGGCTAAGAATGCATAAGAAGCATGTAAAATGTCAACAAAAATCAATAAGACACAGTTTATGCATTTATCACAATTTCTACCCAGAGGAACTGCTGTAAGTAACTTACTGAAAGATGTTGCAATTAGCAGGTCTCAAAAGAAATGTGAATCAGCAGAGAAATAAAGCTGTACTCTTCTCAAGATAAAGGAGACTTGCTCCTCCCTCCCTTAAGCTTTTTCTCTTTTTAAGCACAAAGCTCAGCTGCTGGGGACTTTCAGTGCCCAATGCTATGGCAAAACCTCCTTCCTCATCGCCCAGCCCAAATTCATTTGCTTGGATCCTGTTTTCCTTTGTTGTGGAGTGAAGAGACTTGTCGCTGATCTCTGCAAAGTGCTGCATAGCAAGCTACCTAGTTAAAAGAAACTTGTTCTCTTGGCAAGGGGAATGCTTGATAAACGAGGTTATGCAGCTTGAATACAAGCATTTGGAAACAGTATTTTATGGAGAAGATGGGACTGCATTTTAATTACAGTTTGCCAGCCAAAGGCTACAAGGTTAGGTTCCCTTGTTATCTCTGGTCAGCAGGGTGTTTTTCACCAATGAACAGTGGCCATTTGCACAGTAAATACCCAATTTGCTTTAATAATCATGGTAAAAATTAAGTAGACAAATTCATTTCTAAATCATCTGATAACCTAAACTTTCAGTTATTACCATCAAGCATCCCAATTAGATGCTAGCTAATTAAGTCATATTTCCAGACATTGTTCCAGACTAAAACGCTATGCGTATCCACATTTAAAGGTTGTGGTTTTTTTTCCAGGTACCAAACCTGGACAATCACATGCAATATTTATGTATATTTTGTGTGCACATATATATTATTGTGTGGGAAACATGGGATCCTATATATTTTATTGTCCATGAAAAATGGAACCCCTTCCTTCTACATGATCACAGTGCCAGAATGGAGAGAAGCTAAGCGTACATAACAGAATTCAATCCACTTCATTGCTAGATTTGCACATGTAACTGAGCTACTGAGAAAAGCTGTTCTTGGATGCTTGTATTCTGTGCCTCCATTAATTTTTCTATATGGGGAACACAGGCATTTTACAAGGATATTTTTCTTGAATTTCATCTGAAGTTGGTATTTAAGCACCCTTTATTTCACTTGTTTCAGCTAGATGAGCTCTGGCAGCCCTGAACTATCCCATACTCATCCTTGTATCTAAGGGGCTGGGAAAACATTCCCTTTTCAGCATACTTCACTCTGTATCTCATGGATACAGGTGGTCTTTTGGGAAAACGTCAGCAGCTTTAGGACTGTAGATCACAATTGTAACAGGACATGTCTAATCAGATTTCATGCCTCATGGTGCAAGGAAACAAGAAAGATTTCCACGGCCTCTTACCTCATCACCTGAAACACTGCATTAATTGTAATGCCATAGGCCAAGCGCTCCTGCATCAATGGCTACAAGCAAACTATTTCTGTTCTGCCATACCAAGTCATGATACTTCAATTTCTTCCTTCTGGAGCTACGGAGCTCAGACTCAGAGCAAAAGCACAGAGAGGGGATATTTCTACAGCTAACGTTTTGAAATTACTTTTGTTTTGTGAAAAAGATCCCTCTGTAAATACAGCCAACCTAAAAGTCACGTTCCAATTATTTATGACCTCTGGTTTCAAAATGTCAGGGATCACTAACTGAAGCAAAAGGGATGGAGAAAGGAGGGCTAGGAGCTTTAGTTGTATCTCCAAGGCTGTGTTCTCACCCTGTACAACAGATAAGTGGTTGACTAGGGACAGGTTTCTTCAAGTAATTTTCTCCTTTCAGGCAGAATTGGAAGGAGGCACCCAGCCCCATCACAGAGCAAACTTTGGAGTGCATTACTGCATCTGCCATCTCAGCTAAAGCAACATCCAGACACACTGGGCTGGTCTTCTTTTACCCCTAGAGCTAAAGAGAATTTTGAAAAGGCTGCAAAATTAGAGAAGCTTCCTTCTTGAACCATGCTACTGCATTAACTAGGGCTTGATGCTTGAGTGACTGAATTATCAGAAATATTTTACAATGCCCAGCACTGCCCCATTTTAGCTCCTGCTTCACTTGGTTCTTCTCATCTCGGGCTTTCATAAACTGTTTTGAAATGTTTGCCTGCTCATGTACATAGTAACATAACATCAATAGTAGAGAGCTGCCAGTGAAATAGAACATTTTAAAGAATGTAGGCCTCAAGGTAAGGGGTCTGATTTCATACCTGCACAAGAAATCTCCCAGATAAAGCTGCCAGTGTCTACCAGAGTTTTTAAAACAATTTGGAATCAGGCCAAGAGTTAAAAATGGAGGTTTAAAAAACATGGCATTAGAATTCTGGAGATGAAAGAAAGGCAGAAACAATCAATTAAAAAAAAACATATTATATATATATACATATACGGTGACCCCTCTGATACAGAAGAAGGCTCAGGAGATTTTCAAAGCCATCCAAGCAACTGCAGCCTGATGCATGGAGGCTGCACAGCTGGTGGTGTAATGGTTTTGCTACAACTTCTGAGTTACCATAAATGAGATTTTTCTTCACTTTCTGTAAAGAAACAATAGTGAAAAGCTGCCAAAATACGCCTGCAAGAAGCATTTTGGATCCTCTGTGTTGGAAGTTGCTGTTTAAAGAAAAGATAAGGTTCAAGTAAAAGGCTATGGAAATCAAGCGTGATAAAAATAAGTTCTAGTTGGGCTAAAATATTTGTAGCTGAGACTGCAAAGTAGACGTTCCCTTTTCTACACTGATATTACAGCACAGCCTGTTGGAAGGACCAGTGTGGC